AATCTAGAAACCATTTTCCAAATATGCATAAACAAAACTTTTCTCAAACTAGGGTCAAGCAATATAGAAAACCTAGTAACTATTATCAACCTAGGAGAATGCATAATCCAAATGTTATTTGCCATTATTGCAATAGGTTAGGACATATAGCCCCGGTTTGTTTCACTAGGCATAGGCATTGCACTCAAAACCAATCACACTACCAACGTGCACCTAACGCCCAAAGACCCAAAAGGAATTGGGTACCTAAAACTTTTTAAATTGGTTTGTAGGTGTGCTTGAAGGCATCAAGTGTACTTTGGTACCTTGATAGCGGATGCTCCAAGCACATGACCGGAGATGCATCCAAGTTTTTGCAAATCAAACCAACTAAAGGAGGAAACGTTGTCTTTGGCGATAATAGCAAAGGCAAGATAATCGGCATTGGTTCAGTTGGTAAAAACGAAAACTCCTCTATTGATAATGTTTTGTTGGTTAAGGGTCTTAAACACAATCTCTTGAGCATAAGTCAATTGTGTGACAAGGGAAATCGTGTGAGCTTCATTCCAAATCATGTACGATAGAACGTCTTAGTGACGATAAGACGATTCTTCGTGGTGATAGAATTGATAACATTTACATGGTTAACTTAGATGAATCTCCCTCCGACTTTGCAAAATGTCTCATGAGTAAGGAGGAAGATATGTGGCTATGGCATCGTAGAGTAGCTCATGTCAACATGAATCTTCTGAATAAATTGGTTTCACAAGACCTAGTAGTTGGCCTTCCAAAACTCAAGTTTGAGAAGGACACCATTTGTGATTCATGTCAAAAGGGAAAGCAAGTAAGGGCCTCGTTTAAATCAAAATATGTTGTGTCTACAACAAGGCCCCTACAACTTTTGCACATGGATCTCTTTGGACCATCAAGAACAAAAAGTTTTGGGGGAAACTATTTCGCCTTTGTGATTGTTGATGACTACTCTCAATTCACATGGACACTATTTCTAACTCATAAAAGTGAGGCATTTCATGTTTTCAAAACTTTTCTCAAAAAGGTTCAAAATGAAAAAGGCTTAACCACCGTAGCCATACGAAGCGATCATGGTGGAGAGTTCGAACGAGATCTCTTTACCGAGTTTTGTGATGAACTAGGCATCGAGCATAACTTCTCCGCTCCACGTACACCACAACAAAATGGTGTGGTGGAACGTAAGAATCGTTGCCTTGAGGAGATGGCTAGAACTATGCTTGATGAGGCAAAAATTCCTAAGTATTTTTGGGCGGATGCCGTGAGTACCGCGAGCTACGTGTTAAACCGAGCCGTCATTAGACTGATACTCATGAAAACCCCATACGAATTATACAAAGGAAGAAAGCCAAACCTCTCCCATCTTCGAGTCTTTGGTTGCAAATGTTTTCTTCACAATAACGGAAAAGATAATTTGGGTAAATTTGATGCAAAGTCGGATGAAGGAACTTTTCTTGGTTATTCATTGCGTAGTAAGGCTTATAGAGTCTTCAACAAACGCACCTTAACCGTTGAGGAATCTCCTCATGTTGTCTTCGCTGAAAATGATGCTCGCTTGGCGAGAAAGGTTTCTTGTGATGATCTTATAGATTCGTTGGAAAACATCTACGACGATGACAAAGTAGACAACTCAAAGGAAAGCCAAGATAAAGAAGTAGAGCCACCCGTAAACAAGTAACAACCACAAGAGGAGGAAACGCCAATGCCAAGGGCATGGAGAACTTCAAAGAACCATCCTCTTGACAAGGTGATCGGTGACATCAACCGAAGGGTAAGTACTCGTAGCTCTCTCAGGGACACCGTAGGTCACATGGCTTTTGTTTCTCAAATTGAACCTACAACCATTTCGGAAGCAATTGATGATGAACATTGGACCTTGGCAATGCAAGAGGAGCTTAACCAATTCAAACGAAATGACGTTTGGGAATTGGTGCCAAGACCCGATGATCATACCATAATTGGTACGAAATGGGTGTTCCGTAACAAACTCGATGAAAATGGAATAATCACTAGAAACAAAGCTAGGCTCGTAGCTAAAGGCTACAATCAAGAAGAAGGCATTGATTTTGAAGAAA